GCCAATGAGTCAGACCTGTGCCTTTAGATAATTGATTTCCCAGATGTGTGAACGATGGATTGGAAAGAAATGAAAGAATGGAGGCCAGAGGATGAGTTAGGGAACCATCCTGATAAGCACAGGTGAGGAGCGATGGAGTCTTGAACTGGGACAGAGACAAGGGCTGAATACAAGTGAGGCTGAGGAGCTCGAATTGGCAAGGCCTGGCAAGTGTCCAGAGGGCAAAAGAGGAGGAGAGAGCCAAAGGTGACTTCAAGGTTTCAAGCCAACTCCCCGCTCCCACTGCCCCACCCAGACACCTCCACTGACTGACTTTTGTTCTTTGTACCCTCTCTGTTAGAGGAGGTGGGCATTATTATTGTCATTTCAGTCATGTCTGACTCTTCGTGACTCCATTTGGGGTTTGCTTGGCAAAGCTACTGGAGTGGTTTGCCATTTCTTTCTCTAGCTCATTTTACAGATGAGGAAACTGAGGCAAACAGGGTTAAGTGCCTTGTCCAGGGTCACACAGCTAGTAAGTGTCTGAGGCCATATTTGAACTCAGGTCTTCCTGACTTCAGGTCCAGTGCTCTAACCACTGCACCACCCAGCTGAGGCAGGCAGCAAGATACTATACTGGCTCTTCAATGCACCCCAACCCAGAGCCAGCAACTTTCTGAATGTCCTCATTTCAGCATGATTCCAAAGCCCACATTTAAATGCGGTTATGTTCTGCAGGCCCAGCCAGGCCATGTGTCTCTTTCACTTCCCCTTCATCGCTAGGAGCACAGTCTGAGTTTCCTGGTCTATGAAGCCCCCCATCCAGTCCCTGTGGACCCTTGCCCAGCCATCACGGCCTAGGCCCAGCCAGCAGAATGCCTGCTTCCTCCAGGAAGAACTCAAAGAGACTGGAAACAGCAGAACTCCCACTGGGTTTGAAAGAAAATGATGACAATAATAATAGGAAAAGGGAGAAGCTTCGGAACTGGGCCTGTGATTTCTCTGAAATGGAGAACTTCCCAGTAAGGAAACATCCTCCAGTAACAGAGGTCAGCATTTCCTCTGAAACGTACAGTCTTAGAGCAGGGATGCTTAACTCTACCTGTGTCTGACCTAGATGACCCTGGGCAAGTCAATGACCTGAAAGACTAGGGAAGCCTATGAACCCCTTCTCAGCTAAATGCTTTTAAATCCACCAAATATAATACACAGGATTAAAAGATAAACTAATTCCACGGTACAATAAATGCTGTTATCAGTTTAGAGGCCTTGGGTTAAGAACCTCTTTCTTAGAGATTTCTCTAGAGCACATGAATGACACCAGATATGGGCTCGGAGGAGAGACTTGACCTGTCTTCCTAGCTTGGAGGCTGCCTTCCTAGCCACTGGGCCAAGCTAATAATAACTAGCAGGGTGAGAAAGAGATGAGAAACAAGAGAAAGAAATGGGAGCCTGATTAGAGGAACAGAGAACAAGGCTGAATTGGCCCATTCCAGAAGGCAGCTACAAAGGTGAAGACCTCGCCATGGCATTTTCAAAAAGCTGGAGAAAAAGCCCGTGTGTACCCTTTGAGAAAGCTAATTAGATGTGGATCTGGGGCAAGACTTTCTCGTTAGCTCCCAGGATCTTAGGAACAAGATCATACAGGCTTGGGGCTTGAGGGGACCTGAGAAGCCATCTGGCCAACTCCTTCATTTTACAGATGAGGGAACTGAGGCACCAAGCAGCTGAGGAATTTACTAAGGGTCATACAGGTGGTAAGCAGTCCACCTGCCATTCAAACTCAGGCTCTCAGTGTTGACCCCAAACTCAGTGCTCTTGCCACTGTCCTCCACTAGGTTCTGACTCGGTGTATGTGATGGGGTTAGGATCTTCCCACAGAACCATGTGCAAAGTCTCAAGTTGGATATAAAAGAGGCCACCCTTCAGAGAATGGGCTGGAGGACTGAACCTGATTCTACAGCCAGCTTCATCAAAGGTCTCAAGTCCATGTTATAAGAGGATTAGCTGAAGGAATTGGGGATATTTGGCCTGGAAGAGAAGACATGGGGGTAGGGGGGAGGATGCAGAGGGCAAGGTAGGGGAAGTAGTCAAGTGTTCCCAGGACTGTCTCGTGGCCAAGGGATTCACTTTGTTCTGCCTGGCCCCCGAGGTCACCAGGAGCGGTGGGTGAAAGCTTTACAGACTCAGATTTAGGTGTGATGATAAAACCTCATAACCATAAGAGCTGGGGTGGATGAAAGCTGAGGGGCCCAGAGGGATCAGACAGAGTTTCAAAGAACCAAGCTATTCCTGGGCTTCAGCTACCAGGGGCCAGGTCGGGGAGGCTGTCAGGAGCCCTGGCACATGGTAACACCTAGAAAAAGGTAGAAATTAGCCAGGAGGGCTTAGCCAAGCACTGTGGTTGTGACCATCTCTGACTGTCAGATTAAAGATGGCAGAGAGGGCACAATAAACAGGGGAAATGAAGATCAGGCCCAAGAAGCCTGTTGACTGCCAAGCCTACTGGGGCAAGCGCTTCAGGTAAAACCAACATATCAGTCTCCTCCCTCTGACAGACTAAGCAGGAGATGTGGTCAGCCTGCCAAGGCAGTGGCGGGGGAGGGAGGAGAGCTTAATTACATTTTCAGAAATCAAACCCCTTAGTTTAAATAACAGGTCAAGTGGAATGTGATACGATTTGCCCATCTTCTCATTCCCTTCTAGTCCCTTCCAACTATGACCTTCTATGTCCTGAGGCTCCTCTCAGTTCTGACCTCCTGTGTTCTATGTTCAACGCCCTAAGGCCTCTTCCAGCTCTAATCTTCAATGCTCTATGTTATAAGGACCTTTCCAATTCTGACCTTCTATGATCTAAAGTCTCCTCTAGCTATGACCTACTCTGTTCTATATTCTAAATCCCCTCCAGCTCTGATATTCTGTGTTCCAAGGCCCCTTCAGCTCTGATGGTCTATGTTTTAAGGCCTCTCCTGCTCTGAAGTTCTGTGTCCTGAGGCTCCTCTAGCTTTGATGTCCTATGCTCTAGGGTTCTTTCTAGTTCTAATATTCCAAGGTCCCTTCTGGCTTCAGTGTTCTGTATTCTAAGAACTCCCCAGGTCTGGTGTTATATGTTCCAAGGCTCTTCCTAACTTAGATGTTCTATGTTCTTTGTTCTAAGGTCCCTTCCTGTTCTGATCTTC